GAATAACAATTCATTTTTAAACGAAAGTTTTTGCGTAAGTCATATCAGAGAGGTCAATAGGTTCATATAAAAATGTACAAAACATTAAAAATTTCATTCTTGTTGTCATAGCAACCGACATGCTCCCTAAATCAGCAACTAAACTAATATTTTACCTAGAGTAACGTTTTCCGTTTCAAAATTCGGATAGCAACAGCCATACAACATTGCTAAAAGGTCAATCTTTACTTCTCAAGACCATTCCAGCACATGTTAGCAATATTGCATAAGCTAACGAATAGTTTACAGCTCCCTTAAATTATTCAGCTAATTATATAATCGTCTCGATCCTCTGTTTGGCCTGTCCTCGTCCTTCAAAGGCCATTGTAGAACTTGCCTCATTGGAGACTTGGCCTTGGTGTCCGAGGTTTTAAAGCATCATCTTCGCTGATATATAAAGAAAGAGTCATGTTACATATTTGTCAAAACAGTGGGATTAATGGGCAGTTGCCATGACAACCATGATTTATACACATATATAATAATTAAGTACCTTTCTTTTCTTTTTTCAAAACAAGACATATGTAATACTATAGCCATCGTGTTATAAATACAGTTTTTCTCAAAAAACACAGCACGTGGAAAGTTATTTGATATTTTAACTGGTTACAAGACCTTTACCTAGAGCTATCGTCATCATCAGATACAGCATCATCGTCGTCATCTTGCCTGTTGGTACATTGGCACGATAGCAGCCCCAGAACTGCTTTCGGAGCCGGCTGCCCCTCCATCCAGTCGACGACCAGTTTGCCATTTTCCCTGTACCAACCAGATCCTACTGGTAATGGTATTTCTGGACATCTTTTCAGACTCCGTCTCCATAGAGCAGTCTCGTAATTGCATCGTAGAGAGTGTTTGCAAAAGGTGTCACTGCAAGGTGGCAGCTAATTTGAGTCGACGTCTCCTTTCTTCAGGCAGAACAGACGGTAGCGCAGTTCATTGACGTCGCTTGTCTCAGAGTTTCTACAATACATCTCGCAAGTAAACTTCTGAAGACTCTGGGACAACTTATCTGACACACATCAGTCCCTGCCTAGTTGCTGAAACACTCCGTGGAACTCGTCACTCTGTTTCATCAGGCGATACGCTGATATCTTACCCCGCCCGGCAAAGGCGCTGACAGTGTCGCATCCAGTGAAAGCATGTAGGCCTGGAAGGGATCTACATACACTTGATCCTATGCTCTCTACTATTTTGTCGACATCTACGTACTTTACTTTGGTCTGCGACCCACATTTGATGAACATCGGAGTTGATATAAAGCTCTTGATTGTCAAGCAAAGAACAAAAGATAGCTAGATGATTTTGCTGCACGGTCTGCATGTAAGAGAATTTGGGTATCAGCCTCCTCTTGACTTGATTCTAGCTCCCTGATACTTTCAACTCCGGCAGCAGACGATAACTGATAGCAAGTATATCCACGCGTACTTCCATTCGCTTGTTACAAACACTATAAGCTATATAGCTTGCTTGTTCTTTGAGCTACACAGGAATCTTCTCCCCTGTTTTACCTTGTGCTCGGCTTGAATGTTCCAAAATTCGCTCCCTGACCCTTCACCTCTCTTCTCCCTTTCTGCGTTCTTGATGGATTCTTCTCGGTAGTCATCGAAAACAACGTCGATCCTGTCACTTGAAGCACCTTCGTTTAGCACTATGCAAAGAAGGCGTCCTGCAACTTCGGCAAATGACTTCTGGTCACCCTTCAGACGCTGGACCAGACAGATCGCTGGAGCATTGATTGTTGGAAGGTACCCCA